TACGATCACAGTGTGTAATTGCTCCATTCTGTGTGTACATATTAATGCTATTAGCATTGCACGTTATTATAGTTACGTGATTGATGACTTCCGACAAGAAACCTCTTTTGCACTGAAACCGTCCTACACAGTATGACACAGGCCACGGAAGAGATAGGTCAAGGCTAATGCGTTTCAACGCAGTCCACCTGGTGTCCTGACAAGTCTAGCTGCAAAGAGCGTCACTTCGCAACGCTTAACGATGCCTCCTTTCTATCATAACGGCATTTACGTTTAGTTCTATTTCGAACGCTCTACTGTTAAACCATTGACTAAATATAGGTAATCTATTTTTTATCAGCTTTATATTATAAGACCGTTTAAGTGGGACTGTTTATTCGACACATCCAACGTCAAGGACGTATCGGCCAACCGCACCATTATTTTTCCAGCTGTAAACAAATACTTTATTTAGCATAACATCATCTATATTACACATTACTAAAATGATATTCGTACGTTATAGAATAGTGTAGAAGAAAGCATAGATGTGCATTCCAGTAAGTTTTGTCGGGTGCGGATAAGTTCATAAGGTAAAAATAACTTGAGTGTACATAGGTAGTATCAATGCCAGACCCCAGATCAGTAATTACGAAAATAATACTCATAATAATAATAATAAGAGTGGTGAAAGAAAAGATGTCTCCTAATAATTTAGAAGAAAAACGTCACACAGATGATTGGCTCAATAGCCAGCTAGCAGACCCATTAACCGTAGCTATTTCATCACTTGTTTGCCACTCGTATTTGAGCTGGTTGAAAATAATCAAAATCGGTTTTTCTTAACATATCCTAGCAATAAACTCATAACTGCTGGATGCAGGTGAGTTGACGACGGAAGACAGACCCAGATGGAGAACCTTTCCTTTACGCTGACAGGAGCTCCCTCTGTCTTTAAAGCACCTTTAAAAAAGCTTGTTTGATAATGAAATTTAGATATTCACACGCCCAGCAGAGGAAATATCTAATAGATGCTTCCAGTGCTGTAGATGCATCGGCAGCAAGTCGGTCATGGATATTATCTCATTTTTGTCTTTTGTACCGCTTTGTCCTGTTTACCATCGTAGGAGAAATGCGGTAGACAGTCAGTGATGCTGTCACAGCATTGCACACTGAATGGAAACGTAGCAAAAGTGGTATCTGGCCACTGACGTTCGCATCATTCCCACTGCAATAGGACACAAGTCATTATATGTTGCCAAAATATAATTACGTGCCGCATCACCTGTCCATCGGTGGATAACTATACGTTTTCTACGGAAAACGTACAGTTTCACGTAAGAGACCAAAGTTCTGTACAGAGCGGAATACAATTTTAGATATGAACAAATAAATAAATTTCATTCAACAATTTTCTTTGTTCGACCAAATCTGATTACCGATTGCAGAAGGTTGCATCCACGTCAAACTTTTCGAACTTCCGTTATTGTAAATCGTATGATAAAGTACTTAAATTAAAATACTATCATTGTATGAAGATGCTCATTATTTATAGTGAGTGCATGTAGGTGCACGCATACAATGTACGTTGCCGCATCTTCCAACATAATTTGTCACAGTCTAATAAATCTGGTTACGATACTGTACTGTGTATAAAGGATATATACAAATCTCGAAGCGCATGTCCGAATATTGGTAAGCCTGAAAGTGAAACTATTAGCCAACGTATCTGCCCTCATATTGCACGCGTTTGTTAGAGCTTTCAGATGACTCGCTCTAAATCTATTTCGAAGAAGTATTGCAGCTTTGGCAAGAACATCAGTCCATCTGGTCAGGCAAATCGGACAGACCTGGGCAAAAAATGGCCGCGTTAAGCGCATAGCAGTAGGGAAATATGTAACTGTGATTCCGTTCAGGATGTACCTGTTCAACGAGGCTCAATTGCCTTCGCCAACGATAGTGTCCCTTCCTCAGGAAACAAGCAAAATAGCAGACTGCAAAAACATCTGGCTTTGGCGGGAACAGCCGCACTTCAGATGATTTCTACCAAAGCTGTGGCATTTGTCTGCTGGTAGATAGGATCAAAATATTAGAGCAAAAGCTCCATTCTACTCAGTAAATGTATACATCCTTTAGATAATTAAAGTGAAAACAAAATCCGGATAAGGCCGCGGGGTCTGGTCGGTTTTATGAACCTCGAGTTGTGTGTTAGCAGACACGTGGAGGTAGAACGTGTAGCCTATTATAAGCTTGCGGTAGCCTATCACCGGCGACATGAATCTACCATGCGGTGTCTGAATCGAAGCAAATGGACTCTACGAAAGAAGGGACGTTTTTTTTCCGGGAGCTTCATTTAAGAACTTTTATGCCATGGTTGCGGTAGTACTTTGCATTAGAAGGGATGAACCAAACAGAAATTCGGCATATTATGCATAGTGCTCATACGATACAACAAAGACATGCTTGAACGTTTTCGGTAAAGAGATTAGCAAATAATAGAGATGTGTTCGATTTAGAAATGCCGTGTTCCGCAATCTGACAATATCGAGGGTATGTCAATAGCTAGTAGCAAGGGCGACGCTACGAAAGTAAACTACGGTCGGGAAATATCGCAGGCAGCATGAAACCTACATTACGACGAAGTAAAGATATTCACAGCGTAAGAGATGATACGAGAAACGTTGAACTGTCTTCCTGGCAAAGCAACGGAAGCAACTCGACAGCTTTCGAAGGACCCCCAGTGGGTGCTCAAACCTCAAAAGCTTTTGTCCTCAGACGTACGCGCCTGAATAGAGGAATGTTTGCTTATTGTATCTTCAGAATCTAAAATCATACAGATGAGGAGTTTTTGCTACATGTGTATAGAGTAGGTCTCAATATGTCACAAATATATATATATATATATATATATATATATATATATATATATATATATATATATATATAATCAGAGTGGTCATAATGATGTTAAAATAGAGATGTTTTGTCACCATTTGTAAAATCGATATTTTAACACCATTTTTACAGTCGAGCTAAAAGGACTTCCCGACGGCACAGTTCTTGAAGTGGTAACGTATTACTTCGCTCTAACGTATAAATGCTCGAACCAAGAAGCTGCAAGTTTTAGAGTTCGATGAACTGTTATTTTAGATAGACAATCCGCATCGCGTTCGATGTTCAGTGTCATCGCGAGTTCGGACGAGGTAATAACGTAATTATATCAAGGAACTGAGACTGTGAAAAAATGGAGCGCGGTCGGTATCCGTAAAATAGGTCCATAGGTCGATTAACTGTGTCTGGCTGCTCCAGTATCTTGCGCAGGTATTCAGGAACTGGGTCAATTTGAAACAATAATGTACTGGCCGCAAATGCTGAAAATTCTTCATATATCGGTGTTATGTTAGGAAGTAGATGTTCAATGAGCAAATGTCATTACGATGTTAGGCGTGTCGATCAGCCGGCTGTCAAGTTTATAGGTAGACCTTAATTTTAGCACGTTCCTACAATACAGGTAAACCGTAATCAAGTCGGACCTGGTTTTACTGAGTGGAGTTCGCTATATACACAATGATCTTATACGATTATTATTGTTTCTAACTTCTGTCTAGGTACAATAGCAATGTAACATTTAATATCGATCGCATACGGATTGCGTACTACATTCTGCGCTATGATAGATATCATCTATGGCGCTGAACTAATGGTACATTCATATGAGCTAACGTAAAGATAAAAATCCCCTAAGATGATAGAAAAGGAAAAGGTTGCCGTAAAAATGTCCGCGATACGGTATACTAATATTGAAGTTTAACCACTGCGATGATAGCCCTACAAAATTGAAGTGTTTCTTGCTTCTGGGCGTGCGGCTAATATTAATAGACAGGGTTGCTTTTGTTCTTTAAACTACACTTGACAGGTCTATGTTACATGGCTATTAATAAATAAGCACATCGGCTCGGATTCGGGCTACGTTGAAATTGGGTGGAACGATGGAAGGGCAACTGGCCTAAGGATTACACGTACAAATAAAGTGGATGTCCAGAAATTCTAGGCAGCGGAACCTGCAAGTCAAACTGATCACTTAATCGTGCAGCGACCGGGGCACGCCAGGCTGGTCTCTAATTGTTAATGATTACAACGAAATGAGCTGAATTTGTCCTCTTGTATATTCGAATAGGTTAGAAATGCGTGGACAGACAGTAATGAAGCAGTTATAGGCCATGCACTGACTAAAATATCGAGCCATACCTAAGGTTCTGTATAGGGAACAAATCTTCTCACGCAAATGAAAATTAGATGACGACGTTGTATCTACAACATGGAAGCAATTGAAAATATCGGTGGGATAATGCGAGCACGATGTAAAAAAAAAATAAAAAAAAGAGCGTATTTTTTTTTTATTTTTCTGTTTTAGTATATCTAGGCATGTTGTTATATTGCCGCCTATGAATACATTTCATAATAGCGGGTACGTTTCGTGGTGTCTACGGTGCTAGAATAAACTATTTTTAATTACGAAGACTATTACGCTTAGCAGAAAAGATTCGGGTTTTTTTTTTGCTACAATGTCATTTTGATCTGATAGGTAGATTATCATAGGAATTATATACATAAAATAATAATCGTATTTATTTACATATGCATAAAGTGCATATATATACATAAATATCTTCGACTTTTCACGAATGCGTACTTATTATTAGCGTTAAAGGAATAGTCGTCAGTTCCACAAACGAACAGACAATCCGGCTCTATCCAGTATTGCAAATGAGATGCTTTATACAAAACGGTTTAGAATACACATATAGACAACAAGAAAGAAACCTGCATGTTCCGAAAAATAAGCCTATGTTTGTCTATGCAGCCCCTATGTGGTAGAACTAGGCGCGATGCGTGGTTCTTTGATGAATGAAATTGAACGTTGTCGCGCCCTTCTCGTTATCGTTGCCGTAGATAAGGCACAGAGTGTGTGCAGGCAAGTATCTAACTGTTTTTTTTTCAATGCTTCAACTGTACTTCAGAATTCGCGGAGTATTCCACGACCCTCGCGGATGCTCGCACAAGGAGGAGCGCGTCCCAAAACCTCTATTGCGGCATTTTTGCCGTCCAGGTATGTATCTTTTACCCAGTCTAAACAAACAAAAAAGAAAAAAACAAGATAAGCTGCAAAGGTTATTTGTAAAGTCCTACAAATCATAGGTGGTCAACACTATCAAACAAAGATTATTGTTGCATTTATCGAGCCTGAAACATCACACATACGCTACTTTTGTTGAGTCACATGTGGATATACACTTATACCGGCTGTGACGACACATCTTTTCTTTACTTTCCTCCAGTCTTGAGACGTGCGCTACGTGCCAACGTGTTTAATGGGAACCGATGTGAGTCAACATTATTCTATAATTTTTAGGGGAGCATCTTCGAGTGGCTGCGGTAGCGGAGAGAGTGGTCCCTCATCCCTCGGCTCAGATGTCGGAGTTGGAGAGGGCGACGGCTCCGAATTGGTACTCGGAGGGCGAGTTCTTGTCGACGGGAACTTGGTCGGAGTGCTCAGGTACTGACGGATTGTGGTATCAATCACACTTCAAATGGTTGGCGAATAACTGGAGTTGCAAAAAGCGGAGTGTACTAAATGCATGCATATATAGCAGAAAATTGTAACTTACGTAAACGCTAAGAAAAATAGAGTTACATAAAGCCATTTCCCTACGACCTGGTTAAGCTAACGAAAACTACGAATCAATGACCCTAAAAAGACGTCGGATCCTAATGCAAAATTTTATATATATATATACCTCATTCAACTAAGATATTGTTTAAATTGGTGGTTTTGTGACAAAAATATGCAGATATCTTGGCCTTATCCCAGGGACAGCGGGCACGTGGTGCGGTGTCGAGCTCGACAATCCAAGCGGTAAAAATGACGGTGAGAAAAATGGACGACGCTATTTCCGGTGCGCACCAAATCACGGCATGTTCGTGCCTCTAGCCAAGGTTTGTACTACAAAGTTTTTCTAGATATTCCAATTTTGACTTCAAATCGAGCTGTCGAATAAAATATCGAAAGGATTTAGCATCACCCTAGAGACTAAACTCTCAGTTAAAAGAGAAATGCTGCTTTGGCTAAAAGATTTATTTGTTTCATACTATACCTTCGCCCAGGTAACGTCCCTGTCCCCTAGTTCGCCAGTAAGTGGTCGCGGTGCGTTCGGAGCTTCATCATTAAGACCTCCCCCTTCCTCACTTAGTTCGTCAATGTCGTCATCGATGATGTCCTCCAGCGCTTCGTCTGGTTACGGAGGATCTGCATTGCCCAGCCAGGGTACAATGACAAACCAAAGGAGCTATAGTAAAGAATTACGAATTGAAGACTACCTCGAGTCCAAGTCAAAGGTATAACACTCCATACGTTTACTAGCCAACCACTAAACACATCCGTCATCCTCACACAAACCCAAAGATTTTAATAAAGGGCTCTTCTGCGTGAGTGTAATATATATATATATATAATCTGCTGGTATATATATACCAGCAGATTATTAGTGAACTGATTTAGGCTTACATTTATTCCGGAATGGTAAAAAATCAACTACGCGGTGTACCGGCCTTGCCCCTTGTGAATCTAGGCCAAGGAAAGTAAAAAGGGCTCGCTACAGAAATTCAACGAACACGCGAGTCCGAAGACGTTGCAGAGATCCCTCGTGCTGCGAAACCAATTCCGGGATGAGCCGTGTCCCTCCGAAGAGGAAGAGGAAGAGGTGAGGAAGTAATTATCTATCCTGTTATAAAATGCACTGGACAGGCGTCGAATGGCTGGGTCGTTACTTCTCAAGGCGCTTCTTCTTTGCGTGAGCAACTGCACGAATAAACAATTATTTCATTCGAGTGGGTTTAATAACGTTGTTGAGAACGATGAAACCAACGATTTTGCTGTTGTTGTGGGTTAGGATTATGTCGGTGTGGTTCCGGTCGTCGAACCTCTGATCAGCCTCAAAGACAGAAAACAGATCACTGCTTCGCTCTCGTTCGGGCTACAAAAACTTGTGCAACGACAGGTCGGTTTTACATTAAATGTTTCTAAGCGATACATAATATGTATATGCACAGTATGCTGACAGTAACATTGGTATATATGTACCCCTATAAAACGGAGTTGTTTGCGTATGCACAAGGCCGTATGCAAAACGCTGTGCTTGTTTAGCCAAAACGAGAATTGGATTTAGTATATTTGCAAGCGTATCGTAGTTATACGCGGCCTATGGCTGCTATGAATGTTTTTTTTAGTTTTCAATCATTATTCCGGCGGCGTTGGTGATGAACTAAACAATTTTACCTAGAAGGGTGACTTTTACCGGGGAGGACATTAGCATAATTAGATGAGGATTTGAAAACGAACCTAATAATGCAAACGGTAACGAAGCGCATGATTAAGACGCTGTTATTTGTACTGCAGGCACCGGTGCGATCGAAAAGTGAAGACAACTGTACGGTAAAGGAGAATGCTATGTCGATGCCTCATCGAATTGTTTCTCTTGAAGATGCCGAGGTTAGTATTCGAAAAATAATAAAAAAAAACTTTCTACCATATCTGACAATGGCTGTCTAGCTGTTAGTTAATCCTTATCCGTTCTCTTTCTCAGGTAATAACAGTTTATTGCTGTTGTCAATATATGTGTTACCTAGCTGACTGATGGCGCTGTCATAGGCCGTCGCTGCAGGGTGGTTCGACGCTGTCGAAGTCGACTGGGTGTTTTCCGAAATGTCTAGTGTTAATGAAAGGTGGCCTGCTTGATGTTATTTCAATAACAATGCGTGTTCTACCTATAGTATGCATATTTCCTAATTCTAGGTAGCACAGGTGACTGCGGCAGCAGGGACGAGTGGAACTGCGTCGTCAAACAACGATAGTTCTCTTTCCCCGATCCCCGAAAAAGATGATGATCCGACAACTACGACAACACAGGTATATAGGCTGAAAATATTTTAAAAAATTGCCATGTTTAGGGGCGCGTTTTTTTTTTTTAGTTTCTCTTCACTATAGCAAAAAAACGTACTTATTTTGTATTTTCCTTGACCATCGCTAACCTACAGGAAAAAACCTCCAACCTTCTTGAACCCGGCCCCGCTAGTCAGGACGCCTCGCTATCCCCTATTCAAGAGTTACAAGACGAAAACGAGGAGGGAACGTCCACCTGCGGCGGACTGCGTACCAGCGAAATGAAGGCAAGTAACAAATTGCTGTCTATTATTTTAAACTGTGTACTATATACTTCGCTATGTGTCATCCATAAATGTAGACAGAAGGATCACTACATCATCGTTTGACTCATCTTTTTTTGACATTTCTAGGATACCCGACTGATATCCAATTCCTATTCGGCCGATGACGTGGCCGAACTTCCTGAAGAGGAGTCGGGCGACAAAATCTCACGCGGCTCGAACGCTGCCGAGGTCCGAATATCTCAGGTTAGCGTTGAAATGCCAGAAATTGTTGGGGATGTCGATCCTGATTGCGAAGAAGGACCACTTGTACCCGAGGAGATCCGAATTTCGGATAACGTTTTTGATATTATCATGAGCTCGCTTCGGGAGAATTTTCTTCACGACGTACCCAGTTCTGAAGATCCCAGTTCGGCTTCACTCGAAAGGGATAACAAAATGGGACAGACTGGGCAGGCGGGAAATAGACCATATTCTGCTGACACCGGGTTTCAGGTTGGTATTCAGTAGCTACTAATTTATAAATTTCGCATGTGCCGCTTTTAGGTAATGTTAAATAGGTATTTGTAATTCTATCCTAACAATGATCTGTAAAACCCTTAACGAATAACTTAACCATGGTGCTGACATGCAGCACGTCGCATCGCGTGTAAAGTTTTTTATGCTACATCTCGACCTTTCGTTACTTGCCCAAATATTCCACAGATAGATCGAACAGGTTTATTGTGCTCTGTAACTCTGAAATCTTCCATTTCTGTACTTGGCATCAGTTTTCGCAATGTTATTTATCAGAAGCAGTAATAAGCGGTTTCGATGAAATGCACTGAAATCTTACGAAAAGGACTCCATCATGTTTTCTAGGGGGACTGTGATATAGGCTGTGATCTAGGTGGAGGCGCCAGTAGTTCGACTGGCGACGCAGTCATGAAACAATCGGTCTGTTCCCAGGATAGCGGAGTTGTGTGTGATACTACAGGACCTTCTTCGCTACAAAGGTTAGATACCCACAACCTCAGTATTGAAAAGAAACTGCTCTATAATGGTAAATAATTTTTTCTCGATTATACCAACATCGGTGATTGATAATAACTATAAACGTCTTTTCAATAGAATTAAAGAGAAGTATGAAGTGAAAGAAACGGATACTTTTATTTTCGCCTATCCCTCGTTACTGATGCATTTTCTATAGCATAGACATACCCTCTAAGCGAGCCGAGTGTAACTTCTTTATGATACGATTTCTTTTCGCTACAACTTCTGCCTGAAGCAGGTCGGCTTCGTTACAACCATCGGAAGTTTTAGTTGTTGAACCCGATGACGACAGGGTTGGACAACCCCACGGAAGCTCAGGCCCGGTCGATCCTAACGTAAGTGTAATTTAACGTGTAGTTCAAGTCGACATAGCTTTTTCTCCTGGCGAAGCTTCGCTGTCACGAGTTTCTCGAATACTAAATAAGAATCGACGAAAAGATCTAGCCCTTTTTCACGCCACGGAAGATTCGAGTTTGTCTTGGCATACAAGCAAAACGGTTTTTCAAAATGTATAGGATATGTACGAAGTTTGTGTGAAGTATGAAACGTTGGTCTGCCTAAAGCCTTTTGTTCCTACTGAAGCTCCGCTTTTGCGACATCAGTGTTGTTAGCCTAATTCACCATTTGTTTATCGCGCATTGGGTTGATGGACATTTGTATTCAGTGTAGTAGTAAACTAGTTATTTTTGTCTGAAACACCGCAATTTAGGTGTTTTAACAACTAAGACAAAAGATTGGTGCGTAATACATGTCGATCAAGTCAGCTGATTGAAGGTGAGCGAGCCCGACGCACGCTTTGCTAGAACCCACTGTAACAACGCGCCGTTATTTCGGGTTATTGCGTAAGGAGACAATGTTACGTTGTGTTGTCCTAGACATTGCAAGTGAAATCCGTTCTCAAGCGTTAACACCACCCTATCTGTCTACTGAATGGTGAATATCAGCCAACATTAACCATGAACGTAATTCCCTTTTTGATTTCTATCTCGTTCTTGCACGTCAACGAGGATACAATACGATGAGAATCTTGAATGTTTGTGCCACTGTGGCTATGGCAGTATTACTACGGCTTTGATGTGTATCGTGAGGTTTGAGCCTGCCTGTCGCCGGCATTGTCAAAGCTACTATGCCATGTTTTTCTTATAATTCTATAATATTTTCTCGAATTGCCACACACAAAACGATCCGGTTCCATTTTGTCAAAGACATTATGTTGAAACAGGTATGCATCATCAGCGCCTATGTCACATACTCTATCCAATGTGCACGAATAAAGACAGTAATTCGATTGATAGACGATTTGGAATTCAATGCACAGGGGTTAAAGCTGTCGCAAGAACAATATTGATCTCTTCAAGATGCGAGTTACTATTTTCTGTTCTATTTTCTATTCTTCGATGTCCCGAACACTTAGGACTATTTAGTTAAAATTTAAGCAGGATTTTTGTCTACTTTAAACAGGTATATAGTTGTCAGAAGGTGGCCTATGAAACATCTCCGAATGGTTCAATTTCCATTCGTCGCTGATTGGATATTTGGTAAATAATTCCAATATATTTAGCCAGAGGGCTAGTTTCCACAGTTCACAGACGGTACGATAATCCTGATGACAGCCTAAAGCTTGTTTCGTTAGCATTTCTTGTTGTTTCGAAAGGACATTTGTATAGAATAGTGTCTTTTTTACCCGTCTGCCTTAATCGCCGAATACAAAGTAAGCAGCTATTTTTGCACCAGCACAAAACAATGAAAAGAAAGCTTGGTCGTTTACAATCGATTTTCTTTAAACAGTCATATTAAAAGGTGCTTCATTTGGTGTTCTTTGTGTCCTTCGTTGTTCGTACGATATATAAGGAATTGTATTCTACGTCCTCCCTATTTCAATAGAATTACATTTGCGCAGTTCCAAACGATTCCAACTGAACCTAAATTCCTGTCATAAGCAGCCATTTTGCCCGTCTCGAACCCTAGACCACAAAACGAATTCTGCGTGTGCCCGTGGTTACTGGAAATATTTTAGCCCAAAGCTATTTAGCCCCTTAAACTTTGTCAATCAGTTCCATGTTTGCTCTACTGTACGCGACAGAAAAAGGGCATGAATAACCTTACAGTGAGTCGTCCGTTATAAACTTATACGTGTAGAAGCAGCCCGAACAGACTAGCGGTAGAGAAAGCGTTTATGTTACGCTTCCCTTTTATTGAGCTGGGTAACGTTTGCGTTCAAGATCAACCGTCAACGTTAAGCGAATATGCATTTATATGGACCAACATTAAACAAGCCTATTTATATAGCAGTTTTTATATAAACTCGTTTCCTGAATGTTTGACTCTTGTCGTTTTGACCCACGTTGTCTACACAGCTGCTATGATGGTATGACAGGTATGAGCTGCCGACGCGTCATGATGAGCTCTGACGATTCAGATTTTGTTGGTTCCATGGCGCTGTTCTGTCTGTTTCTTGATTTAGGCTACGGACGCTAATGTAGACGGTGGCCCCTGTGCGGACGATTGTGATCTCTCGGAAGCCGCAGGATGTCTGTCGACAAGCGAGGCTACCGAGACAGCCACAGGCGATGACGAATCAGCAGCTGAACGACGCACGCACGTTCGACCATTGGCCAGTGCCCCGGAACACGCAGCAACTGCTGCGTGCTCAGCCGGCACCTTATCGCCCGCGATTTATTCCCGAAGCGCAAAAGGAGCTGCAACTCCATTGCGGAAACCGAACGTCAATGTTGGAAGCAAGATTAAAGCAATGCTCCAGGAAAATAAGGATAGCACACCAGTGGAACGAAAAGCCCGGCCACAAAGAGTGGGTGCTTGACTTCAATAATAATAACATGCGCAAATGGCAGTACAAATATCAGTTTACAACGTTACTGCCGTTATGTACATACTCAAACCCATACAGTTATGATTTTGTCTATATACTGAAGAGGATAATCGATGACCTAAGTATGCAAATTTAAACCCAAAAATTAATTGGTAACTAGTTAAGCAAGGAACTGCAAAATAATAGATAAACATTTATTATTTATAGGGCGTTGGCTCTAGCGTATAGATAATGAGGAGAAGAAGATCTAAATACAACTATAATAATCGATTTCTCTCGCCCGCTAAAAATTTACGACAGTTCCATTACGTACCATTTTCCTTCGGACAGCCTAATATTTCCAACCCTTTATAAAAAGTCTTCTGTTCTACTAGTGCAAAACGTAACGAGCACCCCATTCTTATACTTCTATGTGTATAATATCTGATATGCAAAATCAGCAAATGTAGGCCGTATTAATTCCAAGTAGCAACTCCAACTTTTTTCAGAAAAATAAGTGGGACGAAGTGGAAAAGAAGATCCAGCAAAATCTTCAGGAAAAAAAAAAGGCTAAAACCGAGGTGAGCATCAGTGACGTGATACTTAGCATATTGAACAAACAAGCCATAAACAATTCAAAGTTTATCCCTATGTCAAATGAACATTTATGATATATGAACATCACATATTCTATCTTCCCAACAAAGGATTGTCAAAACAACGAAACAAGCTCTCCATATGTGTTGGTTGATTCCACTGCCTGATTCAATGCTATGTCTCAAGTATTTTGTCTCACCCTGTCTTGCTTCTAATGCTACCAGGTGAAGAGTCGGATCAATTCGAATCTAGCTGCCGCGCGGGCTGAGGCACGCCGATCTCCACGTGGTTCCGTGTGTGGCCCAAGTGGACGAACCGCAGAACCATCGTTATGTGGGGAGCCGCTTGGTACGATTCCGGGAGGCAGTAGGGATCCCAACAACCAGGACGACGCTGATGTCGGGGGACCCAGCAGGCCGGAATCACGAGCTTCACGAGGTTTGTCTAAATGTCGAATTTAATCGTACAGGAGTTGATATGAGGATAGCTGGAATAGACACAGCAACAGGTTTAATCAAAGACGTGCCCATGGAACAGAAAAAGTGACTGGACACAAGAACAAGCATATCCACCGCTTCCTTTGCGCCGTCGACTAATCATTATGGGTGACGCGCTACGGCTTGACAGGCCTACAAAGACAAATAAATTTTCAGCTTTCAGTTGCATTTTACCATCTGGCTAATACTGTGAATTAAATTGTGAATTAAATAAACTGTTAAATTAATGTAATTTCTCATAAACACAAAACACAATTTTTGAAAACTTCGGTGAATCAAACTAGCTTTCGGGTCTGAAAGACGTTCTTTAGGACTGAACAAGCTAATGGAACATTCGCTGTTTGTCTTATCAGCTTCAAGACGCTTCTCTTTTGGTCATTGACATTTTCCTCACCCAGACCATAGCATTCTCGTGCCGTACATTGTGACACAGAGTACACAGTAAGCAAAAAGAACAAAACGAAAACTCCACCTGAAGCCGAAAGAGGTTACAAGACCGCGTGTTCAGCCCGTTGGAAAAGTTTACCAATCGTTATGTAAGACGAAGCGTGTATTTACAGAGGATGATCCGTGGAGCTGCGAGACCTGACGAGGCACCTAGATAACAATTTAGTTAGCTTGTTTGGTATTCATTATAGTCATGTCATGTTTTCTTTATAAACCTTGAGACTATGCTTAAGTTTTTCTAGTCCAGCCTCGGACCGGAGTGCCCAGTAGGTTTTCGGCTTTAAAATTTTTCGCATACCACTTCGGCAGACCGTGAAATGTGCGCACTCAGCCTTGCACCCAGGTAGTTTTCATGTATCATTCCGGCGTTATTGGTAACACTCCTTAAACCACTCATCCATACATCCAGCCTAGTCTGCGGAAAACCTTTTCGGGTAGATCTCTAACGACCCATGTCATTATGCCATTTCAGCTTATTATATCAGCTTCGCTACCGCCTCAGCTATCACAGAAACTATATGTATATATAAGCTGAGCTTTCATGATAAAGGCTTAATCTTGATTTGTTTTAGTTGTGCCGTTGCCTATCAAACCCGGTCCACCGAAACGCGATTACAGTCGACCTTGGGCTGACCCTCCTCCAAAAAGTAAGTAGAGTTTCATTGTCTCTACTAAAACCTGAAGGCTTTATAAGGTTAGTGATTTTAAGTAAACCTAGCACCCTAGTTAGTTATATTAGCAAAGGCGGTAATCTACAGCTTGGGGAGTATGGAATGAAAAAAATACAAACGCAGATTATAACTCTGATGCAAAAGCTTTTTTGTCACACTTGTGGGCTATTATGGGCGCACGATATGCCATATAATGCAAAAGATTTCTCTCCGAAATTAAAGTTAGTGGAAGAGAGCCTTGCTATGATTTTCCTATAAAAAAAAAAACCATGTAGCAAATTAAAATATGAAAGATGACCTTTACTACGTTAAATAGCAAATCAGCAAATTTACTAAGCCTATACCGACGCCTAATAAATAGGTTCAAATTAGTATGTATCATAAAAAGCACTACCGCTTTTTAAAGGAGTGTACGTACTCACTACGAATACAATAGAGGAGCAGGTCAGCCCGTGTAATGCGAATAGTGAAACGTACTTAAGATATATTAGAACGATCTGCATTGGAACGCTACGATGATTGTTGTATCTTTTGAGTAGCGTACATAATATACATCAAGTTGCATTTATCAGTAATAAAAGTGAAATAAATCCCCTTGAAAATATAACCCTTTAAAATGAAACTCACGCAAAAATGCACGCACGACAACATCACGGGTGCGTGCCCGCAATCCCGATCGACAATTCTAATTCAGTTCCTTTACTGAAATGCTCCTTCTGTAAACGGCTTCCTTAACGTCAGATGTTGTTGCCGCCATGTGCGCCATAGCAAAATGTTTTCTCGTAGACAACGCAGTAGTTTATCAGTTTCGTGGTGTGTTACCTATGCTTGTGTCTCATAACGGCGTTCATTTTCAGTGGCAGAAAAGAGTTCTCCTACATTGGCCTCGGCTCCCTGCAAGGGAAGCTCCGTGGCAAGACAGAGATTATCGCTCAAACTCGGTCCCCCTGGCACCCCCAAAAGCTCACAAGGTATTGGCGACTATCGATCACCTTTGTGGCGAATGTTTCATTAAACGCTATTTTGTCCTTAACCCTTGTTCCACCCTTTTACGTTCCAATAACCCTGATTGGTGGAGGCTAGAAGAACTCAACGTTTAATCCCTTTTTCGATGCTATCGTCACCGGTGTTTATTGTGCTTTCCTTTTGGTGTATGGATGCACCATATGTATCGTATTCCATTTGGTGGCTTGTGTTCCGTGAAGTTCTTGCCTGCTTAACCCTTCACGTTCACCCTCGCCGTAAATATGGCTGGACCAAAGAGCCATACAACCTGTTGCTCAAGCACGTGGTAGCAAATTTGTATAGCGCACCAGGAAGCTTCAACATGAGACTAAGCTTCTATTTAGCTGAATTCAACCAGCATTTGCTTTCTGCCTTTTGATGTAATAGAACTTGCTGTAGAAATACGGTAAAGCAACTTATTGACGTCCAATGAAATCTCACGATAACTTTAAGATATGGAGTTGTGTTTATCAAGCAATTAATTGCATACGCCGTATATAAACAGCCGCGCCAGATTGGACGAGTCGATTTTTTTTCTATAGTTTCTATCCTAGTGCCTTTTATCATATAGCAGGACTATCCAAAGTTCATTCGGTCATGTTGTTCCCATTAGTTTTATTTGTGGGGACACAATATCTACTGATCCTGATTGAGTTTCAGCCTATCATTGAAGGTATCTGAAATCTACTACAATTTATCTTGACTCACTTTCGAATAAATATTAACCCGGATCGTTGGTGTACATATGTAAGGTAGATCTGCTTCGCGGACTGACTAATTATACCCTGCTTAATCTGTTGCTTTTAAGGACCGCCTAATCTGCTTAGGGTAAAAGAGGGTCACATCGTAAAAATCAGTCATTAACGGGATTAACTTGCACCTGGTGTTGTTTCTAGTTACTACGCTTATCTACCATAAAAATCCACCTGAATCCTATAATATTATCTAGTAGTCTTTTTAGTTTAGTTTTACCAATCTGTTTAAACGCAATTTTGGCTAAATCCGGCTCTGTCAAGCGCGTGGCACTTGGGGTGCTTAACCTCAGGATTGTCGACAAAAGCTTCAATTTGAATCCTAGTCAACTTTATGAATATAGGTCATTGCATACGCTTTATGTACGATCTGTATTTGGGTTAAAGACTGTAGTGGGCCCGCTTTTGCATGTACACAGAACTACCGGACATCTAACTATTAGTTTTGAACTTAAACTAGTACGGATGATGAAATAGTTATCACTAACAGGATCAGCTCTTTCCTGGTGAAATGATTTTTAGTCATAGAGTTAAATGGACTGATTTGAAAAGTTTCGACAAGCTTCCATAACGAAACCTTATAGAGAGGACGAACAATGCATACTTAGATAATTCCTTCAACATCTCTTTGTTTAAGATGGTGTGTAGCCAAGTGGTAATTGGTATACTGAGCAAGTACTTGTTGTGATGTCCTCACACTGAATGCGTAATTTAAAAACGTTCGTTTAGTCAACAAAGAATCCTCAAGACAGTCAACTACAAACGTTATGTAAACAAATGCAAATTTATAATTTGAAAATACATCTTTAGGAGATATCCGGACACCTGTAGGGAAAGCGGGAACCAGGTCCCGTCTTGGAAAAGACTCTCTGAATAGTCCTGCAAGGGTAAGCTATTGATTCCGTTCTGCTTAGATAGGTTATTGTCCTATCATATTGAGAATCCGAAAAAAGTGGAATTAAACAGAAATATCATTCATCCAATGAATTTATATATATTCTTTGTGGCGCCACCTGATCAATTATAGCGTGCTTGAGTTATAATATAGAAAAACTTCAGTATCATATTAGTATAATATCTTGATATTATACAAAATATGGTATATATTGAATAATTTTCACCCAGGAGGAGTTCGATGCAGAGATTCGGCGGTTGGGTGCTCTGTGTGAGGCCCGAACAAAAGAGCTTAACCGCGTTCGACTCGAGCTGCGGGGCACAGCTTACGCACTCAGTGCTTTAGCAATCGCCTTCCAGCGTTGGGACCTCAAACTCGAAAGGTAGCCTTCAATCACGCTAATGTTTAACATGAACTAACGGCCCACGATTCAGACAACAAGTTGATAATAACTGATAATAAAAACAATATAATTAATAATTGAGGTCTTAAGCTCATATATAATTATTAGAAAAAGGCGATGCACTACGTCAGTACACATTTAGAAATATGTACTTAGCTTGGCACTCATTATTATGAGCTTACTGTCTTTGCTGGCGGTTTTTCGATGCTGGGTTAATGTCATTGGCCTCTCGCACTGGCCAAGCAACTATTGTATAATATAGCGGTTGGGGTTCAAGATAGCCTGTAGCCAAGGATGGCACAGTATACGAGTCTTTTCATTATGACTTTCAGAATGGATACATATGCTCATCAGCTGGGCGAAGATCTAACGCTGTCAGAAGAAGCGCTCAAGGTTGCCAACCAGGAAATCGAGAGACTCAAGCAGGACGCCCAGGAAGAGGTAGGCAAACAATGGTAATCTTCTCTAACAATAAGCCAGTCTGTTCTAACCCACAAATACGAGTGTTTCTCATGTCCGTATTAGGAAACGCTATGCATGAAAATCCAGCACCTCTTAAGTGAACTGTACGTGATAACGTTAAGTGTGAATTACGTATACATTTTTCATATTCTCCTGCAAAACATGTTTTATTAATGGCGTAAATGCAACTGCAACACTAGGGATTTAATATCCTAACATTTCCTATGGTGTTTCGGTAGGTTGCCGCCATCCGACGGGAGTTAGAACAAACTCGCGAAGAGCACTCGCTAAAAAATCAACAGATGGAAGAGGAATACGTAACACGAATGCAGAGGATATCGGCTGAGCAACAGGCCCGTATTGATCGAATGAAGGAACAGTTTGCGAAAATGTCTGCAGACGAAGTTGCTTCGCGAAGCGAGGAAATGGCCAAAATACTCGTAAGTAATCGTTCATTGAAAGCTTTCTCTGACTAGACTAACATTATTTTGAATAGAATTTTTACCATTATAATAGAAAAGGTACGAAGATAACATTTCGATTGATTATGATTATTTAAATTTCGATCATCTAATAGTTAGCTATCTATCGATAACTTGGCTGTTGCAATGACGCAAGTGTTCTGTGACGTTCGGTACGGTAAAATCCATGATATAAGTGTATTCTTCAAAGTGAAAAATGGTAATTCTGTATATAGAATTAATTTATTGGGTTTTTGTGCATAATTTTCATGTACTCCTTGAAAAAAGTCGTTCTAGCTTCTTTGCTTTTGCTCTCTAGGACGGTCACGCACGGGAATTAGCTGACAACCGGTCAACTTATGAAAGAGAACTGCGGAATCGGACTCAGTTGCATCATCAGCGAGAAGCTGATCTGGAAAACGCACTCAAGGTATTCTTCTGTTACTTCAATCAAGTTATACGAATTAACGATATTTAATCTAAAATTGCGTTGTGAGTAGAAAAATAGATAGTTGCCCCTAACCGTGCAGCTAATTTAAGCAAAATTTATAAGTTACACATTGACCTGAAGGTCATAAACGAAATGAATATAACTTAAAAATTAACGATTTGTGCCGCACGGATCGTTCCGTATTAGAGAGTCCCCGTGAATCATCAGGTAGTTTCTTCGTTGTGCATAGTAAGTACGATATAAACCGCTAATGAACTTGCTTGAGTCACGCGAGCCATTGTACTATGCTTGTGAATACAGGAACGTAGTGAGGAATACGCCCGGGTAAAACGTGAGGCTGAGGAGTTCCAAAGGAGCGTCTTACAATCAACGGATTCAAAAATCGCAGTAGGTTATACTCTGTTTAGAAGAAGCTCATATGGTCATCTAAGAGCATTACGTTTTTAATTAAACCGGTGTACCTTATCTGATTATAGTGTGTACTGTAACTATGAATCTAAACCGTGTGTACTTATCTAAAAATTCAAACTTGTAATATTTCAGTGGTTGCGTGAACGTAATGAATCGTTAATGAAAGAGGTTGACTCACTGAATGCTGTTCTGGAAATACGCCGAGAAGAGATCGACCGACTTCGAATCTTTGAAATCGAGCACGGTCAGCTTAAGGATAAGCTGGCTCGCAGTGATGACGCCATCGAAAAGTACAAGGCTCGCATTGAGGATCTTTCGGTTAGTTTGCTATAGAGTTTCTTATTTGAGATTCACTATCTCGGTTAGAAGTTGATACTACACACAGCGATATAGGCAACAGCCCAGCATATTTCTTGTAACTGGTGGAAATAAACTCGAGATCCCCTAGCATGACTTGATATCTCATTTCGGGCTATTTAAATCATGCTGCTTCAAGACATACAAGTCGAACCCTTCGTACTGATCATATTCTTCGAAGCTTTCTTAGCGGGACACGGCTGCGTGACAGAGTATCTTCTTCATTTTGCTTTGTAGGCAATGATCGGCCAGAAGTTAGCTGTGCAGGATCAATTGGCACAGGAGAATGCCAAATTGAAGGAATTAGCGGAACATAAAGACCGAATGATCAGCACTTTGGGCAGAGACCGCGACGTGCTTCTCTATCGGCTAAAAGAGAACAAGGATGCAAACAGTGGACAACAGTCGAACTGTGCCTCCGCGGCAGATCGCGCCATGTCCACATCATTTAGTGAGTAACTTTGTCTCTTCAATTTAGGATATTAGATAGATAGATAGATATAGACAAAGTTTTGTAGGTATGTATATCATGTGAAGAACCGGCTTATTAAAAAGCCACGCAGAAGATTGTCTTATAAGCTAAATAAATGCTAGATTATTTAGTTTTCGTTTCGATGGCAGCTTGCATCGAAGTGGATCTAAACTTTTTCGTACTATCGATTGCTCACAATCGCTGTCTTGTTAGGCATTTTTTTTAAATGCAGTCGTTGTGATTCTTCTATGGTAGACTATTAGACTGCTGAAGGCATCAGAACGATTGAGAATATAGGTCTGGATACGTAGATGGACTTCGGTCCTTCTGTGCGGAAACTCCTATCTAAATTCGATTGAGAAAAAAAAAAACCCTAAATATAATCTAGAGATAAATAACAGGTTAAAGTTTTTATAACCTGACCATTATAATTCCAAGTCACCAGTTTCAAAGTAACAGTAAGTTTTTCTATTTGTCGGAATAGTAAGAGGGTAATAGTAAGAGAGAGAGATCTTATGACTTCCCTGGATGCACTTTGCCATCGTTTAAAGTAGAAAGGTTTGTCATAATATAAGAACGACTACTTCGAGCGAAAACAAAGATCAGTTTCGAGAATATAAATATATCTCAGAATAATGAAAATTTCAGTTGTCGATGCTAGTTCGGGCCGACCGTCACGCGAGGTACGCAGCGCCTCAAGCCGACATCGGGGTTCCGTTAATTACCAGATGAGGACAAAGGTACAAACAAGCAAACACGTCCTCAGCTACGAAACATCGATAGTAAACGCAAACGTCTTTTGTGTAGCTATAGTTAGAACACTAAATTTGGCGTACAGATTACTTAGAGCATTTTTTTTAATTATCGGCTAATTTATCCGCACCACATTCGAGCACCTACTTAGAACTAGAGAAAAAGTTACTTGGGAAATGACCTTTTGCGTAAGTTGCGAAACTTCACCGAATATAGTAACTGGCAATACTACTATTTCGATTTACAAAACAATTCAAGGTCGTTTCACTGCAACAGAGGAAGAAGACTCTAAATACATTTACAATGTTTGTGTAGTGGCCATATAGATGGTGGTTCTGTTCAACAGCTACGACCGTTCCTGGCTGTGCCTATCGTGTGCATCTCTATTGATCAGCGTTCAAACATGATCCATAACTGTGTCTCTATATTAATAACGGCGATAAGGGTAAATACACTTTTCTTCTTTTATTGCGGAACCTGCTCACAGGTAGATACCAACGCTGTGATGTCGCAGTCGTGGCATACAGCTACGGGACCTGACCTAGGTCTTCAGGGTCACGGTCCCACCTCCGTGGGAGCTACGAGGGGAGGAAATACTGCCCATGGAGCCTTAAATGGGCGCGACCATCCACGCAGACCATCGCGAGCGGCAAGCGCCCATTCAACCGAAGACGGTAATAATCAGCAAAAGGTGTTCAATGATGCTCCAGTGCAACGCATCTATGCATGTCTACCGCCGCTCGCCGAGTAGCGATATATTTTAACCTAACAAAACGAACTAGCTAGTTATGTTTGCTCAATCATCAATTCCATTTCTCATCCTCATTAATTGAATGTTTATAACTTATTGTTCTACCTCAATTTGATCGGTGCTTTCAGTAAACCGTAACGTCGAGATGGATGATTGCAGAGCGAACGAGAACAACGATCGGATGACGACGTCAATGTACCATTAGTTTGTTCGGTCCGCAATCCACAGCAGCTCACGATCGAACACGACACTTAATAAACTCAAGCTTTAATTTCGGCTTTAGATAATATATCGTTCATCCAAAGAGCCGTTCACCTATCATCGTTCACTGGCGAAGAAACGTTCAAGCACAGTTCTGCAAAACCCTTCATCATTTGTTCTAGCTGAATTCATGAATCATCTGTATTTATCATTGAGTTAACATTATTCGATAATATGATAAAGATCGGGCTAAACTATTGCCTTCATCAGTTGGCGTTGCACGTTCGCAGGGCCTTGCACATTTGCCTCCTACGCTAGCCAACTGTGTTGACAAATAAGCACATCCAAAGTTCGTAATCGTGATTAACTGGGAAAAAGCTTTCGACCTCTCAGAACGACCGAACAGAAAGACGACGAGCGACTAACGACCATAGTGAGCAGCTATCGTCGCCAATAACAAACGGATACATTGGGCAAATAAAAGGTTCTATGGCAGCCTGAAGGAGCCTGTCTGAGAAACAACAAAAATAAGAGTATGGAATAGGCATATTTTTTCGTTCGGAGTCATTCGGGATGAATGTGACAGATTGAACGGTGTGATCAATGGAATGAAGAGGTGAACTCTGCTTAGACCAGTCGATTGCGTTTAATGCAACTACATGTTCCTGCGGTGGCTAGTCTGATAAAGTCATACTTTTTAAGTAGCAATATCTGGACGGGCCACGGCATCGTTAAGCGGGAATATTCACTCCAAGTTTCTGAATCACATAAAACAAATGACAAGGAAACACACAATAGAGTGCATCAAGCTGACATCAGATACCAGTACCTTGCAGTTGTACTATTTAATCTGTAGTAATCATCTCCACACGCCGCACGCGTTGAAACAGAGTTTCAGACAACCTGACCGTTGGTAGGGTGCTTTATTTAAATAGTAGCTTTATAAAGGAGGTGACTTCAGTTCTACAACATAGATGAAAGGTGTTAACCACTTAACATTGGAGATACAAAGGAAGAACTCGATGTGTCTGTCCAGAATAATTTCACAGGTCGTCTCCTCTCATAGCTAACCCCTTTCAAATATAATAGATATACCTATGAACAGAAGGCGTTTCGATTAGTTCTCACTCGCCATTCAAAGCACGAAAGTAGAGCTAGTATTCGTCCTATTCAAAGGCAATGACCTTCTTTGACGCAGGAAGCGGAAACTGAGGTTTTTGCTTTGCCGTTTACCACACAAAAGCAGTGTCGGCACGACGACAGGTGCTGTCGACGGACCATGTTCGAAGAACGCAGCGAATCATACCTAAGAAAATAGAAAGTGAACTCAGATCGATGCAATGAAGCTGACTAACCACAAACGGCTGTGGTACGGCTGACGCATCGTGTGACGAACATAGGGGAGAAAAACAAAGCCTTCGAAGCTCGGGATCGATTGGACGAAAAGGGTTGGTCGCATCTAGAGCGTGGCATTCGAATAGAAGACATAATATGTACAGAGCAGATAAACATGTATTGTCAAAATTAGGACATAAGGAGACGCGACACTAAGTAAAAATAGAGGACAAATATAAAAACTCCTCACAAAAGAATATGCGAAGGAAAGGAGAGATACATGCTAGGGGTGCAGCAAAATAAACTTATATAACAACTCAATCATAATATCGAAATTAAAAAAAATATATAGATGGCCAGCTATATGTAGTATTGAAGAATAGAAAGGAACCGATTCGGAGAAAAGAAGACATGGGCTAAAAAAGAGAGAGCGTAGTAAATGCCCAATGATATGACACTGACCAACGTAGCTTATAGAAACCTACCAGCTACCGATATCGCCAGTCCGAAGTGCGATAAGTGTACTCTCGTTGTTGAAATAGATATTTGGTCGATATTACAATAACAATAATAATCGTTAGCATAACAGATAAGATAACATAAGAATGAAAAAAAAACGAAGGTGTATGCAGCAGTTATGAAAGAAAATGATTTACACGAAGACACGAAAAAACAACATTCAATTAAAATTGCTTTTTTTTTTTAAGTTTCTAACAGCATCCTCACAGTCCCACCTCGACAAGCCTTGATTGGGCTTAAGTGCTGCCAGAGACCTTTAAGCAGAACTGAAAAAATCGTTGTAGACGTGAAGATAATAGACGTTTGTTTGCTTCGGCTTGACCCATACTGGCAGTTCGTACCATAGTTTCGTACTATAAGGTTGACTGCCGAGGCAAAATGTATTTCTTTCTATTCTAATCGTCCTTCCACCTCGTCAGAATATTATCTTCTACGTACAGTTTACAGGATCCATGTGGGGCGTCGGTCCGATTCAATGGAAACGCAATGTTTTCCAGTCTTTACGGATAACGCAAGGGTGTTATCTCCGACACGCGCTACGGGAACTCAAGTATAGAGTATCCGGCAGATTTTGATAATGTCCTGCTTCGCTCTTCTGCACGAAACACAAATAGTAGTATATTGATTCCGCAATGATCTTCTCTATTTCCCACTGACGTCACTTGCTCTGTTCTGTAACTGAGGAAACAGAAAATGCTTTGTTGTACCGGATATCGGTTTTAGGACCTTGGGATTCCCTTCCTCGATTGGTAAGGAGTCGAGAAGGTTTGAGTCAGCTGATTAGTTCTGTTGCCATCGACAGTAATACTGTAATCGTTTTTTATGCGAAGTTTTTTTAAGCTTGATGGTCGATTTTTCTGATACGATACAAACTACTCCTACTACTAGCTAACCCCTCCCTGTCTTAATGGGCTGGCATTCAACGTCTGAGAATTTCTAGGTCGACATCATAGGGCTAATACATGAAGTAATTACGTTTCAATACGTTTGAAGTAACGAGTAGGTGCAGGAAATAGGTGTACGGATAATACACGAGAAAAGATCAGCTATAATGTCACAGTCAGAGTTACTCATAGCAGTGGCGAGATAATGAGATATGTGCTCAAAATTATCGCAGTCAAAAATGATTGAGCTATCCATTAAACATGGGCAAGGTCATGCCAGCTAATTTCGACCCGAGTTCCGACCTGGTGGAACATCACGTCTTCGCAGGTGACCGTTTGCAGTGTAGTGTACGATGAGGTTGTCAATAAGATCTATTATAAGGCTGTATACTAGCAAATCAGACCATATCTAGCTAACATCAACAACAGTTATCGTTATTATAGCATATCATGACGGTAGGCATTGTAACCAGCCCGCGTGTATTCTGCCATATCATTAACTCAAGCAGATTTTCGCTAACACCCGTTCATGACATGCGCTACTCCATGGACAACAGCTGTTTGCTCGCTTGTTTACTCCTTACGTGGATTAGAAGTCCGTAAACCAACGAAATTTGCGTCCTCACCCGCCCCGCATCGTTACCCCCACCTCACGCCCACCTAAATTCTCTGACAAAGTGCATCGTTACTTAGATATCCGCATCCTCTAGAACAAGGAGAGAAACAGACAAGGCGGCGGGATTTGCATGTACCTATTCACCAATGTTCATTCATTGTTATGAATCATAGTCATTGCATTCTCGCTGGATTAACTACCGCGGACCTCCACCAGGCGCTAACCCAACGAGTTAGCGTTCATGTGAGCAGCTTCGCCGGCTCTTTCAATTAACCATTGTCGTCATTTGTAGCAATAGCAACCGATAAAATCCTAAAAATATGTAGCTCGATATTGTTTGTTCCGACCCCACCGATTGCACTGACCAGAGCCTTCCACCGCCCATCTCAAGCCTTTTGTGTCCGGCTTGTTTCTTTGCTTACGAAAACAGCAGCAACAAATAGTCAACGCCAACATCTAAATGACAGCCAACTATGGCCTTAGATTACTAAACGTATATATATATACATATATATATATATATACGTATATATCGTAGTCTGGTATCTGTTATCATGTCAAGTGAGAGATGTGTGTGTACAGGCTCGTTTGAATAAATTTATTTTTTATGAATGCAAAACCTTCCTCGCTAAACATACATTTTTTCGCTACCTAACACTGCTATGTCTATGATTTGATATCTCTCCGAGCAAATAAATTCCTCGAAAAAAATCTCTTGTATGCAGCGTACGTAAGGTGAGCTGTGATTCGCGCAAAGTGGAGTTGCAAATATGAAAAGGATAAACAAACAATAATATAAAAAGCACACAGAGCAAATATCGGCCTGCCTGATACCAAACGGGCACACCATTCACACTTTACCCTATTGATAAAAAAAAAACAGCACAGGCTATTATCATAGTTTTTTTCTTTTTATTTCCTCGTGTGCTCCCGCTGTACAGACAGGCTGGCGTGGCCGTCCCACGATCGTGAATGCCTCAAGGCCCTTGTTAATTTCTGACACCCTGTTATGATAACAATTGATCAGCAAACAAGCCGGAAACGTATCGAATGAGATACACTCAGTGAATTAAGATAGTAGCTTTTTATTGGAAAAACGTGCAAAAGAAGATGAAAGGCCTCGATCTCGTTCTGTAGGGTCCTTTTCTACGGGCGACTGAGACCTCAAGCCATAAATTGAATAATGACCTATCGTGCGTCGCTAGGACATTGTAGCTAGAAACTGTAGAGTGGAAATACGTTCGGATGATTCGAAACGAGACTAATGCAACAACTTGAACTAAAACAAATAATAAATATTATAAACAAATTACAGTTTTTATGTAAATAAATCACTAGTCAATGCGTTACTCGACTCGGTGTAATCAATGTTTAAAGTAGGCCTAGGTAGTAATGTGGATAAGGCGATCGCGGTCTGTAAAAAAGCGGGTATAAAATAGCAATGTTTAGTTTCAAAGAAGGTGATCAAAAGGGAAATTTAGTTGCTAAGATTTGGATCTATATAGATATATATATATATATATATCTAATATATATACATATATATATAGATATCTGATATATATATAAAGATATATATTATTTAAACTGAAAGACAACGAGTTCCTTCACTCTAATATAAGCGATATTTACATGAGTGGGTTTGCATTTCGGGTAGATCGTCCGATGATTCTTTTTCGCTACTCTTCACGAGTCCGCCTTAACGGAGCAGAAGGTGCCCACTGCTAACGTTTCTGCTCGCTTCGTTCATTCCAGTTTATAAGCTAAAGAAAACGTGACGTCAAACAGGTACAACATTTGGATTCTACAGGCGTAACATTAACGGCATTGATGTTTACTGCAATCAGTATGTGCGTGTAGACCAGACACGATCTACTATCGTACGTAAGGTTCAGTCAACATGTTTGTGTAGACATACTTCAAACTCGATTTTTCTAGATGACCGGCCCAACTAGACGATTGCATACAACGAAGAATAGCTAGTCGACAGTGTCCACAGTTAATCTTAGCAGCCTGTATTTGACTAAACAGACGCACCTTTTATCAAATGTTTCTGTGAGCACCGCTCGAATCAGATACGCTTGGGCTTTTAACAACAGACGAGCAGGATAAACGTAGAAGGAACTAATCAGAGTGGGTAGGGAAATAGGAAAAACTATGGCCGTATTGCAGTAAAACACAGTCAACTGACGGAATGAAGCGTCAATATAAAAGTACAAAAAAAAAAGTAAGTTAACCTTTGATGCATGGACCAAATCTACTCCTTCACCACATGTTATGGCTATGCGGCAGTGATAAGTACATCATATGAGCAGTAATCAGCCTTCGCTGAGAAGAAGGTGACTTTATTTTCGGACTAGAAGCACATTGGTTCACGAGTAGCAGCAACCTACTACGCCTGCGCGACTGCATACGCATCGTGCCTCCGTAAATTTATTCTGCACTATTTACCATATCCAATACCCGTGCTAACAGTCCAATTACTGCTTGTGCAACAAAACAACAGACTTTATATTACTATTATTCATTTTAGCAATAAAAAAGTCTCACGGTACAAAAAGCCACTGGATCCATTCATTCGTGCACATACTTTTCGACGTTGAACGGAACGATAAAAAATTCAAAGACAATTCGAGCATTCTGGCATATTTAGCTCCCCCCCCACGACCTCTCCAGAGGGAAATAGGATAGAGCGTTTCGTCTGTACTACCATAATGCACAGTTGCTATACAATGCCACTCTCAAGACACCCATGCGCATGAATCGGGGAAGTTTATCTTTAGCGTAAACTTCTTACTAACAAGATTAAATTGTTTGCAAGTTATCATGGGGTTCTATCATTGCCATTTTCGCTTCCAAATTTACAGATAACGGACAAGACTGCTAGGTAGTGCTTGCGACCATACCAAACAAAGATTAGTAAGCCAGTATCTGTGTTCAGCAATTACGATGTTTTTGCTTGTGCCTAAGTGGCTTTTACCGTCCGACATATTCGTCTCTTGGTCTGACCGCTTCTGTGACGTAATTATGAAAACAATCACTACTCCTGCACTATGCCTGTACCGCATACTTTATCTAGTCACTCAGTGGCCTTGGAGCAGCGCTTAAAGACAAGGGCAGTCGAGAAAGCTAAAAACGAGCATAGAGAACCATTATTTCGTCATAGACATATAATTCTAGCAAAACGTGCACGCCAATCTAACCTTTACAAGGACGGCAAATCCCTTGAAGCTGCATTGCCGTTTAAGTTTTTGGAGTAAGCGCATTTGTAGCGACTCTTTTTTAATGGCGACGAAGGATCTTAATGATTTTATGTACAAAAACAATCCAATCACCTTTTGGTACGACTGAGTAATATTATATGATTCGTACAGCAGAGGCAATGCATATAATTAAATTTATTGTAAGGTTACATTCACTTATCTGGGAACGTTTTTCTTAATTCCGGCTTAGTAGAAGGCTTGAGTTACCATTGTTATGTTAACCTAAAGCTTTCCAAAACAGATCCGACCATACTCGAGGTGATTCGCAGATAGTTTAGCGCAGAGTGAAACATCGCGGAATTAATGATAAGTACTTGATGGCAGTTACCTGTATGAGACACAGATTGTTTTGTATCCGCTCCGTTTAGAGAAGGCATGACAATAAAGCAGTTTTGCCAAACCAAAGTTCACGCTGAGGCCGTCTGCTACCGCCGTCAGCGGTATCTGCGAGAACTTGATTTATGACGCTGAATTTTATAAGTCAATATAATACAAGACGTGCTTCCAGTGGAAAAGGCGATATGACAGTTCTTCTAAGGCACGCTTTACTGATGGCCTTTCAGTTTTTCCGTCGAGTCAGAAGTGTCCTGTCAATTTTGCCGACATCTGGAAGGCTATTTGGGCGAAGAGCGCGCACTAGATCCCGTTGTCGCTTGGTATTCTTGCTGCATGCCCCACTGCATGTTACTCTTCAGTTGACGCATTCGCTGAATTTTATGATGCGATGACGGCTATCTAGTATACCTTACGGCATCTTTGTTTCGTTATTAATTTGTTCGTCTTTGTAGCAGAAGTATCAATGAGCGACCTTGCAGTAGTAGTTTGAATGACGCGCGTAAATCTACTGCACGATCGACTGTGGCCGTCGACGTTGCTAAAAGCCATTATGGCGTTACGATCTGGCGTCAGCGGTTCGATAGACTGAATAACGAGGACCGTTCACCCGTGCTGCCATTATAACCGGCTTAAGTATGAATTTTGCGTATAGATAACCGTTGCGTACCCCTTCACGACGATACACAGAAAAAGAGTAGGCTTTTATCTGATTTAGTCGGCAGGAATTTGAGATTATTCCAGGCGGCGTACACGAATCAGCTTATAGCAATTTGGCCGTCAAAAAGAATCGCAAAAGACAAAAAGCTAACTAGTCATTTTATACGAAAAATTAACTGATTATGAAAAATTCACTGGACACATGCGATGGATTAATCTTGCACTAAATAACAAATTCGTTGGGGCAATTCGAGCAGTTGCGGTGGATCGTTGTGTCTTCGGATCGTAGCAATAATGAAATAATGCTGGCATTGCCCATAGCTGTTTCGGGCTGCTACACTTGGATTAGGGCATACATTGGCGGCTGGTGAGATAGACTATGTTTTACGATACCCGTGAAGTATGAATCAGCAAAGCTAGATGGAGTGGTTCATGCTATTCAAGCAAGAGGGGCGGCGGCGGCATCGGACAATAGTGGCTTTATTCGAACGCTTGCTTAGACGTAATGTTCGGTAAAATTAGATCTATCTGACCCGCTAATATAACGGCACATAGCTATATTTTTAACAAGCTGAACCACAAACACTTGCTTGAAAACAAACACATATATATATATATATATATATATATATATATATATATATATATATGTAGATTATCAGTGCACATAGGTGTGGGCGAAGCGGCGTTCAATTAATACAGTAACAAAGCTTGAAATGGGCCGAACGGATCGACGGGGCGCATACGGATAGTGAAGGACAGAGCAGCGTAGATGAACGGCGTCATTTCATTAGCTCTTCAAATAAGATTCGTAAAAAACATTCTTTTTTCATTATGTGTACTTTGAGCAATGATTCTAGCGGAAGGATTGCCAGTTATGTCGCTGTTGTCACGAGCCCGTCTTCGAAAAGAAAAAAATTGGGAACCAAATCGCTTTAACGGGCGTAAACAAAAGGACCCATGTAGATTTAGTCGACTACGCTGATTCCGGGATAGCCAAGTTCGAGTGGCAAGCCAAAAGAAGCTCAACAAAAAAAGCGTTTATTAAAACGTTACCTTCACTAAACGCGTTTGCTAATTAGGAAAGCTAAAAGCAGCGACTGTAACTATGTGGCCGGTGGTCAGCTACGTACGAGGTAAGGCGCGTTCTTCTTCTAACGAATTATATGACGCTGGTAATGACGCTTATAATAAATTGGACGACGATAATGAGCAAGTCTCTAAATATGCCTTTGCTAGCTCAAGAGTGAGCGGAAATCATTGTAGCAGGTTGACAATGGTCAGGGAAACAGGATCCGTTTTGGTAGTTAGCACTGGCACATTTTACACTGCGTATCTATAAACTAGGAAAATCACCCTAGAATATTAGAAATTGGTCTAACAAACGAAGCGACAATCACCATCGGTGCTTTAATTTGACATAATCAGCCTTTATCGATAAACATAATCGCAGCAGAAAGCATTATCGACTGCAACCATGTGCGGTCGGCAATTTACCTAAACACTCGCTCTTGGCCAAATCCTGTGCGAGACTAAAAACTGGTTTCCTTTTATGTATCCATTAATGTTAAACTTTATGAAAGAAGGCACAGTTATTCAACAACGCCAATCACCATACTATATGTAGAAACGAGGTAGCGATGTCTACGAGAACTCTATATAGGGATGTGAGAAGAAGCACCTGAGTATTACAAGCGTCCAGCGATAACGTCGTGACCTTCCGGTAGACTTCTAATTACACTTGAACTATATAGCAAGCATTTTTTTAAGGGTTCCTTTTTAACACATAATCGATAATTTTTTTATACTGATACTCGCTTTTTTGGTCAACAAACTTCCGAAAATATTTTCATTCATGGGGGTACAGATCGATGCCGTAAAATCCACGTCAGAAGGCCAATAAACGCTAGCTTCGTATCCGACCCATGTCCTCTTAAGAAACGCATGTTTTTAATTGTGATGAGACTATAGTTGTACTTTTCACTTTTATCTTTGTCCTATGGTAGATTTTATGAAAGCTTACAACACAGATTGTTCAAAGTGAGTATGTCCAGTCTGGC